GCCCCGTTCTGGCCGGGCCGAGTATGGTTCTCGGACCTGATTTCTCTCCTCGACGGCGCTCCATGGGAGAATTCCGTCAGGAGAGATCTCCTCTCACAGGCGGAGGGCGCACACCCCCGCCTGGAGCTGTGAAAACTGTGGGTGTGGCCTCTGAGGAGGCACAACTCATAGCTTCCGGGGACAAGCTATCTGCTTTCAGACAGATAGCTTGCAAGCATCTGTTCGACCAGAGGTATCGCCCTGTAACCGCTCTCATTCAGCCCCACCACGTTTGCATAGTGGCTGGACGCGGGGCTGAAGATGCGGGCCGAGTAAGGCTTCGACCACGATCTCGAAGCGTGGAGATCGGGAAAAAATGGCAAGCCCCGGCATGGACGTAGCGGCTTAGTACGCAGAAAGCGTTCATCCAGCTTACTTTTCTGCAGTTCAGCCTATTTCTCGGCGGGCCATTCGATGTTTAACTTAACAACAGCACTAGTTACTGCCTCCAACAGCTCTTCATACTGGGGAGACAGGAGGGGTGAGTCCCCTGCCTCAGCGACAGCCTCCACATCGAGCTCCTCGGAGGAAGAGAGGCGGAGGGTCGAGCCCTCTCCCCGGGGGGAAGAAATCACGGTGCGGGCTTCTGATCCCTGAGAGGGGGCGCTGGATCTGGTGGGTGAGGAAGAAGATAGGGACTTGCCAGTCTCCATTCCCTTCGCCAGATCCATCTACAAACCCCACGACCGCAATCGACACGCTGCCTCGGCAGATGTGGTACCAGAGCCGCAGGGAACGCTGGTGAAGGCTCCCTCCTCAAAGAGAGCCTTCCGGGAGCGAAGCATTCGCAACGAGAAGCACTCGCAGTGCGGACAGTCAGCCCCCTCGAGAGCTGACTCAGCATGCTTCGCTCCCATACAAACCACACATAAACTATGTGTATCCCCATCCGTGATGTAGTGAGGACAGGGAGGAACACACAGTCTATAGCGGTGTTTGCTTTTGCCCTTATGTCTGGTTTTCTGACTAGCTTTTGGCATGATAATGAGTGCTTTGGACAGACAACAATAAATAAGACTGACATACACAGAGCGCTTGCTGAATGACAGAAGCTGCCGCTGTATCCACCGCACGTGCTTTTAAGCTTCCTGGTCTTTACGTCACCCCGCCCGTGACGTCTTGCCCATCCATTGGACTGATTACACATGTGATTCAGAGCGTGGTCACGCTGGAGACGCGTTCCCGTAGCGTTTCGACACAGCGTCTCATTCCCTTCGGGGAACCATGGTTACATGCGTAACCTGGAGATGTTTTACTTATAAACTAACAACAATTTTAGCAGATCCGCAATTAAAAACTTTGCACTAGACCTGGAGATAAATACTAGAAGTGTGACAAACAAAACGTTGATCACTTTCTGTATATAATTAATTTAGTTTTAAGGGGTCCTATTATGCTTTTTCACTTTTTTAATTTTAGTCAGTGTGTATGTTTG